TTGTAAGATAACTGTATTTGCTGTGGAACATCTATTAGCTTCTGCAAGGGCAATGCTCTGAAGGATTATTATTTTTTAATTTTACCTTGTTCCACAGATTTGTTTTCAGTTCTCCAGCTATCAAATACAGTTCTCACACAGATCAATCTTTTCTATGCATGTGCATTCTCACAAGTCCCTCTATAATGGAAGGTAAATAGACCGAAGCTAGGACAGAAATTTAATGAGATACAGGACACATGTAAAATGTGACAGACACACTATAGCTCACATCACATGACTTTCACTGAGGTATGTAAGAGTTCAAAAATAAGTCAGAAGATTATGACTTCATGCAGAAATACATATCAAGGTTTTCTTATCCATTTAAAGGGCAGGTGATATTTTTTTGTATCTTCAAAAACAAATATTTACAAAACCCAAGTCTAGACTTTGATTCCCACATCTAAGTATCTAAACAAACGTAACTTGGTACTCTCTCTGCATCTCCATTGATTTCAAAAGTGTTTACTGGCGCTCCACATATTTTGCAAAACCTGGTCACTTTTAATTAAGTGTTGATTTAAGAGACAGCATTTAAGCACAAAATCCCTACCCAAATCTTCTGCTCTTATGGCTTCATAGCATTCTTTCCTGGGCTCAAATCATGACCCCCAACCATTTACATGCCTCAATCTCACTTATGGCAGAACTTGGTGGTCCTTGAAAGATTTGGATTGCTGAAGCCCACTTTTAGTCATGGCAATGATGTAAAGCCCCAGAAGAGTCTCCACTTGGAAAAAGTGAGATGAAGACACACACATTCTGTAGAAGAACAAGGGTGACACAAGAAGATGCTCAGCTGACTTTCAATGAGCTAGATTAGACAACTATAGTAAACTTCTCCTTTAGAGTCCCTCTTAGAATCATAGCATGTTGTGAGTTGGAAGGGACCCACAAGGATCATCGAGTCCAACTCTTGTCCCAGCATAGGACAATCCCAAGATTTAGACCATGTGTCTGAGGGAACATGTTGTCCAAATGTTTCCTGAATATTGTCAGGCTTGGTGCCATGACTGCCTCCCTGGGGAGCCTGGTCCAGTGCTCCATCACCCTCTAGGTGAAGAACTTTTTATTAATGTCCAACCTAAACTTGCTCTGGCACATCTTCCTGCCATTCTATCATATGGACCGTGATGAGATCTCCTCTCAGTCTCCTCTTCTCCAGGCTGAACAAACCAAGTGACTTCAGCCTCTTCTCATATGGTTTCCCCTCTAAGCCCTTCACCAATTTAGTGACTCTCCTCTGGACACTCTAAAGTGTCTATCTCTTAAATGGCTCAAGAGACAACTGAAGCTATCTAAGCAAAACTTCTTGCACTTCAGATATTCCTACAGACAGATGTCTTCACTGAACAGTTTCATTATCCTAAGTCTGACCACTTTTGCATATCTCCTGTTCACTAATGGAAGTTATTTGCAATGGTATTTTTACACTCTCAAAACAGCAGCTAGTGATTTAATGTATAAACTCTGGGAGTGGCTTGATGTATACTGGTGACTGGAAAAGAGGTAGCCTACAAGATGATTAAAGATGCTATTTAATTATTCTTTTCTCGAAGAATACTGTCCTCAACAACTGTCAATCCACTGCTCAGAATACAATATATTTTAAAAGGAAAAAACAACGTTAAGTAATCTGTATACTTAATGGGCAGTCAGCCTTCTTTGGGGTGAAGTTATTAGATACTGACCATATTTCCTTTTTTGTCAATACATACTTTTTTTTTTTTTTCTGTAGGTGCAAGGCTATTAAAAGAGTACTGTTCTTAATCAAACAGACTAGCATTCTATTAAACTACTCAAGGACAAATATATTTTGTAGGCTGCAGTCAGAAATATTACATTTTTTTTAAAAAAAAAAAACCTTCACAAAACAAAAAAAGACGCCCCAGTGAGTAAGCTAGGTCGTCAGCCCTCCCCCGCTCCCTGAAAAAAAGAACAAAACCACCACCACCAAAAAAACATACAAGAGGAATATATTCCAACCTTTTCTTAAAAAATAAACAAAACAGGAAAGGGTGGGAAGGGGAATATTTTAATTTATAAAATTTATACTTTTAAAACTTCAATCTTCATTAAAGCTGTTTTGGTCTTCATTAGTTCTCTTCTATTATAAAAGTGGTCAAAAACCTTTCCTAACAGTTCTACCTTATTTTGAAGCCATATACTAAATTGAAGGAGTTTGAATCTAGGTTGTTTTCATTTGAAACATTACCTACCAAAATGATACGTTTCATCTGGAGAAAAACTTTAGAAATTTCTTTGAATTTGTGCTCCACAGACTCTATCCTCTATTGGTTTCAGAGGCATCCAAAAAAGCACATCCATGAACCAGATGCACATTTTACCTCTGTTTACAGTGCAAGCTTAAAACAGTCCTTAAACTTTCCTTAGAGAGCCTTTCTATAGGTTATGATATATAAGGAGTAATCTGAGCATCTATATGAAGACACAAAAAAAAGAAACAGTCTCTCAAGTTACTTTCCTAAGAGGGAAGAAAAAGAAAAAAAGCTTCTTGGGCTCTTGCTTACTTTTTTTAATTACACAAGCTGTAAACCAGGTGGTGTTAATTACTTAAAGTCCAAAGAAACTTTAAAAAACAAGTATCTATAACCACTTTATTAGCATAAATATAAAAATATTTTAAAGATGTAGTATCTTAAGGACTTCCTTCTGGTAAAACCATTAGAGATTTTCTCTTCCCTTTTTCTCCCCCTCTTAAAAGAAATTCTTAGCCCTTAATTACTTAGAATAGACTATTTTTAGAATAATACCAGTTGTACATATTGCAAAGCTGTCACTGGTTCAGGACTGAATCTTCACCATCTGGGGGCTTGGCCAGCACTACGGTGGGTTTTTTGAGGAGGTTTTTTGTTGGGTTTATTTGGTGAATTTTAGGGATTGTTGTTGTTGTTGGAGGTTTGTTTGGGGGTGTTTTGGTTTGTGGTTGGTTGGGGTTTTTTTTAAATCCTTAAGGACAGGAAGGGAAATTTTAGAAGCCTGGCAACACTGCAACAGTCTGTTAGAGACAGAGAAGCTCTGAAGTGCATGTTAAATGCACCATTACGGCTGCACTGATAGACCTGGACTTCATGCATGGGTGTTCTCAGTATAGGCTGGAAGAACCCTTATCTCAACAGCAAAACTTTGAAGCCTGTAGCCTGGTTGTAAGAGAGAACCTAGCCTAAAACAGGTCTCCGTGGGACTGAGCAAGGCAATCCTTGCATACAAAAGCAAAAAAATTTTTTTACAATATTTAACAACTCTTAAATCTGCTAAGAGAAGTTTGAAATGGTCAACTCCTGCTCAGAAAAAATGCTTCTAAAATATAAAGCAGTGCCAAAAAGAGGGTTTAACTTTTAATACCTCCCCTAAAATGATACTCCCTGCAGAATCAGGATGAATACCAGCAGTTCAGCATGGAAATTTCTCCCACAAATAGCAGGAAAAGAGAAAAAAGCATGCTGAAAGCTCATTAACAACACCTATTAAGACAAATAAAAATGTGTTGCAATTTAAGATACTGATGCAGAAAAGTCCAGGTAGACAATCCAAAAATTATACAAAAAAGGCATAAATAAATTAAAACTAGCCACAGCTGCAAATTCTATATGATAAATTCTTGGAAGGAGAAAAAAATTCTATACAGATTCTTGAAATACTTAATTGTTAAAGAGAAATTTCTTTCTAGGAGTCTGATAGGTCAGTTAAATCCATACAGCCATGAAGCATCAATACATGTTGTTATACCTTATATTTTACTATTTAATAAAGAGTATGGTTTTCAAAAAGACAACCCACAGAAAGTTCTTAAGACTTGTCTTACACTTATGGATTGGAGTATATGAAATATAAATGTTATTAAGGCAGGTTAGGGAGGACACAGACACATAGCTTGATCTTCAAGGTCTATTTCCATCACTTTCACTCAGCTCTCTAAATTACTTTTATATTTAAGAGTTATACAAAATAAATACATCTGTATTCAAAAGTATAAGTGAGCAAATCTAAAGATTGAGAATCCTCTGTTTATCAATACAACAAAAATGAGGGCAACAGGTTTATTAATTTTACCTTCTCAGTGACAGAAAAGGAAGTGGCGCTAACTTGGTGGGTTGCATTTTAATAAGACACAAATTCCAATTACTTCCTATGAAATGTTTTTCCAATATAAATATATTTCTGCAAGGCAAAGTCCACTATAATAGAAGATTCCATTAAAACAGCAGAGCAACATTGACTAACGATATTTCAAGGAACAGCCTAAAACTTGAGGGTGATCTAGAGCCCAAGAGAAGGAAATATAAATATTAGCATTTGATTTTAAAAAACCAAAAAAGCAAAAAAATAAGTATATTCTGCATTAGGATTCAGTTCTTAAAATATCTCCATTATTGTCTTGGTTTCTACTTGTTTTCCACAATCCCCCAAAACAGCATTCTTTCAAAACTGTTATATAAAGAGTCATTATTTGTTAAAGATGCCCAGAATTCTGGTAAGCGATCCCTTGGCTCTGCTCAAAGTTGGGTTTTGCATAGGAACAGAGGGGTGATTTTTCAACTGCTGTCTCACCCCCAGTACTTCAGGGCTTCTAGATGTTCAAGAGCTCACACCACAGATTACAGCACTTGAAGGTAGAGCAATGCACACCAACCACATGTATGCTCCCTCTTCTCTGGCCCTACCAGTGCTGCTCCAGAACAAGTCCTTATGCACTGGAGAACTCCACACACAGCAACTCTTTCTTTTACCTGCATCCATTGGCAGGCTGGCAGCAAAGCTGTTGAAAACAGCCACAAACAGAGGTCTTAACAATAACACTTAGAGGGTTTCCAACTTTGAACTACTTTTGGTATCTAATGCAAGTTCCAAAACATTCCCTAACACTTTTATGCATGTCAATGCTGCATTAACAAGCATTTTTAAGCTTTCAAAGTTTTCCATGTTATCATCCTTACCTATGGAGTTTATCCTCCAGCATCTCCATGTACTTTTCAACATTTTCTTTTACATTGGTCACTGCAAAATAAAAGTCAAAGTTAGGTAATGGCATAAATGTACAGTTTCTTTTTTTTTTTAACCAACTCATCTCTTACCCACAAATTGTACACATATCAGTTAGAAATAAGAATTCCATTAACTTTTTTCACATTCAAATTACAGTGTGGGTGTCTTCTCCCCTTTTTTCTTAAAAATCTATTCTATCTATATTACATTAATATATCTAGTAATTAATGTATTATTCTCTTGGTCATGCCAGAAAAATGGTAAGACTAACAAAAGTACAGTTTTTAGAAGTTTCCTCTTGACAAAAAAAAAGCCCAAAACAAAACAAAAAACATACAAAAAAAAAAAAAAGAAAAAAAAAAGAAAAGCCACACAGCTAGGTCCTTCTCTTTACTTGCAGAAGCAACCAAACCTAACTAATTCATCAGTCCATGCACAGGAGTCCTTTAAAACATTATGAATCTTGTATCAAACTTCTAACAGAACTGAAACACTACAGAATTGAAAGAATTACTACTCAAGATTGTTATGAGATTTAGGTTTTTGGGGGGGCATTTGTTGTTTTGGGGTTTTCTGTCTGTTTTTAAACTTGGGACCTAGATATTGTCTGCATATGAGTCCCTAACAACTTCTTCACTCAGAAGAAACTCCAAAAAATTACTTACTCACCAATAATAAAGCCATTCTTTTGGATGACCCTTGGTACTCCATTATGGGTATGAATGGGGGAAAAAGTAAATCCCCTCAGGAAAATGGAGGCTTTTAGAGAACAATAATTTTCACATTAACTTTTTTTCCCTCTTTAACAGCTGTTTGTCAACTCCAAGTCTAATAGGACTGTTAATCAGTCACTTACTTTTAACCTCTTAACTCATTGTACACCAATTAAATATGTCTTTTATTTAAAGAGGCATTCTACAGAGCATCACTGTTTTTATGGGCAAAACTTGCTACATGGATCTGGTACCCTGTGAATTTACTCATCCACCTCCCCTTATCTTCCCTACAAAACAATGCTTGAAAGCACAGCTTAGACATATCAAGTGCTTCACATATTTCTTACTTTCCCCTTTTACTTTTTGTATTTATTATTTTTAATTTACAAAGTAGAAGGTCACACACTAAAGCCTAATCTGAAAACTCAGTACTAACCCAATCAGTTGTGCCAAAGTCGTGTTCACACACATACACACACAGGAGCTCACAAACTGAAACCACTTAAGTAATATCATTAGCAGCAATCATCAGGGTCAATATAACATCGACTGTCTGCAGAAGGTGGTGTTCACCTGGTGAACAGACAGCAGTCACACACCACTGAAGCAGTCTGCATCCCAATAGTAAATATAGCATACATTTTACAAAGTTGATTTACTTTTTGGGTTTTTTCATTGATTTTATGAAAGCATTTATCAGATTAGAAAAAAAAAAAATAAACCCACAAAAAACCTCCAACAAGCCAAAACAATCAAGCAACCACCCCCACCCCCCCCAAAAAAAAAAAAAACCAAACAAACAAACAACAAATTCCACCACAACCCTAGTACTCTGAACCACAATTTTGTTCGTAACACCTTTAATCCAGGTTCACTGTCAGAACAGGTTCTGCAATACAACATTTTGAGCCAGCAGGATTCTGGAAGATTATATTGTAGATGGACCACTGCATACATTTGTATATTCACAAACCCATCTCACCATTAGGAGAGTGCTGGTGAATCTTATGCAAAAGGCTATATAAGGATTTTTGCAATGGCACTGGAGACATAAAATAAGATTCCTTAACTTGTAGCAGTTTTATAGCTATGTGGCTTAGCAGAAGTTCCCGTTTTCCTTACTATGCTTTTATTCCTACACTTCCTGTGGAACTGTGGAGAGCCTAAAAGACTGCAAGTCTTCCTTTAACGACACACTACAGTTTTATATGAACTATCACCACTTTTCCAAACTCCCTATCCATCAGTTCCCAATGTGCTGACCTGAGGTCCAGTGCATGCTTTGATAGCAGATAGCTTAAAGGTGTATGGTGCTGTACTTCCCCTTCCCTTCCCATTGCTGTAATATCCTTCAACATGAGCTGCTACAACTCAGGGGCTTATTCTTTCAGATAATAAAGTCAGCAGATAATATTAATTTTTGGAGCGGGATGAGAAGAGGTGGAGAATCTGTTTCACACTCACTTTGTTTCTAACCGATATAGTGACTTCTTATGTTACATGAAAGATAAACCTTGCTTTCAATTTCTCCTCCTGTGCTTGTCACTTTTTAATTGGGTATGATCTGATAGAGTAATTCACACTTTCACAGTTCAGTCCTGCCCCTACATGCAATTTTACAATGCCCTTGAAGCATGCAGCTTAATATATCAGCATTATTCAATGACAAAAAGTAATGGACAAGAATACACCATTAGTCAAAAGTAGGTCAGTAAAAAGCTAACACTCATTTGGAAATCACCTCACATCACTAAACCCTACTCCCTCCTGTCAAATGTTTTAACTACATTAAAAGAAATGCAAACTTTGCTGCTGAAAGAGAAAGCTACCCAGACCAGCTTTGTCTCCTTGCTGCCTTCTGCATGTAATTGGAAGAGCTGTGACCTGGAGATTTTGCTGGAAGGAAAATACTGCTTAAAAATCTGATGGAGATTACTTCCCTCATAACAAACTGCAAGCAGCACTGCAACAAATACACAAATACTTTGAGCCTTTCAGATCATGCATTTGAAAGAGAAGACAAGCAACAAATTAGCAGACTTTTTGTTCTAATTTAATAAATCTATTCACCATCACTTCAAAGCAAAAAAATGCAAGCAGGAAGCTGTGCGTGCCTTCAATCTAGCTAAGAAAGTACTAGATGACAGAGGAAAAAAAAAAGTAATAATAATTTATGAGTTTCTTTTCTGCATAAACATGCCAAATGGTTTATTTTTACATTTAAGTGAATAGGATTGCTTTTTTCATCAGTTCTCTGGGGATTTGCATGCTTAGCTCATATTGGCCTTGAGGGGAGTTATTAAAATAAAGAAGTATAAATACTCACAGAAGATCAGACACCAGGGTATTTGCTAAGATTAAAAATAGAATTTTCTTGTGAAGCCTTAATTGAAGTAAAGTGATTCAGCATTTCTTACTCTCATTTTATCATATATTTTTCTTCCTCCTTACAGCAGCAAAGACCAGTCTTGGAATCAATCAGTCCTGGTCAGACAGAGCTGAAGAGCAGCAGTGAGTTCCTGTGGTGGTCTTTTAGTTGTTACAGAGCATAGATCTGCCATTTTAGAAACTGCATAAATATCTTCCAATAATTAACCTACATAGAGTTCTTTTAAAATAACATGTTTCTCATGTAAAAGCAGCCCCATTGGGGTAATGCTGTTTCTCTTACTTACAAATATTATTTGAGCCTGTAATTGAAGATGTATCATAATTTTTGTCCTTCAGTATCGGTCCTTACAAATTAAGCTTCCAATGACCTATGGACCATGAGATATGCTTTGCATTCTACGATCAATAGTTTCAAAAACTTTCTGAAACTGCATATCTGACTGGAGACACCTTGAATGCAGTGTCCATATGGTAGTTCCAGATGTGAATGCTTGGCACTAATTAAAATTGAATTAGGTGCCTCAAAAAATTGGTAGCCAATATCTACAGCAGTTTTTAAGTGCTAGCCTACAGACCTGTAGCTCTCTACCAGACAAGTGATCCACACCTTGAGTCCCAGAGATACAAAGTCCAAATGCCTTTCATTCTAAAAGGTGGGGGTTTTTTTGGTTTTGGTTTTGTTTTGGTGGGGGGTGGGTGGGAAGTGAACAGTGGCACACATTTTTACACAAAATTAAAGGTTGGAACAGCCACAATGGCTGCTAGCAAATCTAGACCCAGCATGAAAAAAACTGCCAGACATTACCTGCCTGCATGACAAACCTGAAGCCTATACAATTAGCCTCTCAGATCCACAGGCATTACATTCCTTCTCAAATACCTTATTAGTCAGGTAGAGCAAAACTTGTACTGGCTTCAAGGAGATTTTTGCCCATCTTAAGGATCTAGGATGATATTTGGCTCTTAAGAATGACATAAAAACAGAAGTAACTACATGGACATGCATTGACCCACCCGGGGTAAACACTGAGGGCAGAAATAGGTGTGAGCAAGGTTGACAGATTGCTTGTCCTGTCACTACTGTATTTTTTAAATGTAGAAATTAGTATTAACACTTAGAGAAAAGCAAAAGCAGAACATGATCAGTTGAAAATATCTCATCTTTTCTGTTATGGAAGATGTGCTGCATTAATGTGTGGAGTTGTGGTCTGAAAAACTGCGGAAAGGCTTCAATATATTTAAAGGTTAACTTGAAAAGCCAGTCAAACTACAGAGATGACATCTCAGCTGCTCAGCTACATGTCAAGATGATTTATCAAGCCCCAGTAACAAGATTTTGGATTACAGAATGGTAAGGAATTTTGCATCTTGCAGATAACAGAAAAACCCAAGGAACGAGCTCTGCGTAAAGAACAACAGCCTCACTCCAGTGCATTATTCCCAGGGAACTCAAGTCAAAAGAAAAGAATGGCCAGGATTAAAGACAGGAAAATAGGTGGCTCAATAAAGATGTGCAAATACTCCAAAAAAGCTAACATTCAGGGTCAGTCAACCAAATTCTATTCCAGTTCACTGACTGTCTTCCAGTAATTAAGTAAGTATCAAGATATGTAGTTACTACCTGTCTCTTCCAGCAGTTGTGGTTTGTTCTAAGGAATGTGCTGATCCTCTAAATATCAGAACAACAGAGCAGAACAACACAAAATTAGCCTGAGAAAATTATTGCCACCAGAGATGCGGTGGCCAAAATTTAGGAGTAGTCTAAATGGATTGGCTATTCTGTGAATAGGAAGACTACACAAAAGTGAACAGTAAAGACAAAAATTGGTACTAAACATCTATGAAATTAAAGCCCCACATTTAAAGACGTAACTCAGTATTACTTGATGGAGTTAAAGATACTAT